CCTTTCTTCTCTCCTTCTCTCCTTCCCTCCTTCCTTCCCTCCTTCTCTCCTTCCTTCCCTCCTTCCTTCCCTCCTTGCTTCCCTCCCTCCTTCCCTCCTTCCTTCCCCCCTTTCTTCTCTTTCTTCTCTCCTTCCTTCCTTCCTCCTCTCCTTTCTCTTCTCTCCTTCCCCTTCCTCCCCTCTACCCTTCCCCTCTTCTTCCCTTTCCTCCCCTCTCTCCTACTCTTACATTCCCTCCAATTCTTCCTCTGCTTTTCCCCCTCTCCTGTTCTTCTCCTTTCTCCTCACCTTCCTATCTTTCCTTCTACTCCTCCCGGAGCTGCAATCTCTAACTATAGCTTGAGTGCTCTTATCCTGAAGAGATACTGCCTGGTAAATTCTGGGGTGGAAAATCTTGAGGATACCCAGGGAGAAGGCTGGGATTCTGCATGTGGCATTTCTATCATTTATTCTGATCAAAATGCAAAGAACTCTCCTAAAACTATTTTTGCAGAATTGCACAATATCTGCAGAAATAAATAACCAGAGACTTCTGCTGCTGATGGCCAGCCAGATAGCCATTATCAAACTAACATGTTCCATTTTTTTTCTTTCCTCCTCCCCATTTAATACTATGACATATTTGATGAGAAAAACAATCAAGCAAATTCTTTGTAGTCAAATTAAAGAATCAATTTCTCAGCTGGACTTAAAATCCAAGCCTCTACTACATTCATCACTTTAGGTCATCACACATCACTTTGGAAAATCCATGTGGATTTTCTTGTGTGCAATAAGGGTGGAATGTTTCCTGAAGCACCATCCACACTTGGGGCACTTAAATGGTTTCTCCCCTGTGTGTATAAGCACATGATTCAGAAGGTTAAACCTAGTACTGAAATCTTTCCCACAGTCTGGACACTCATACAGTTTCTCTCCTGTGTGAGTCCTATGGTGTCTAACCAGATTAGATTGCTGACTGAATCTTTTCCCACAATCAGGACACACGAAGGGTTTCTCTCCTGTATGAGTCCTCTGGTGTATCACCAGGCTGCAATTGTGACTGAAACTTTTCCCACAATCAGGACATTCAAAGGGTTTCTCTCCTGTGTGAGTCCTCTGATGTCTCACTAGCTCAGAATTCCAAAGGAAACTTTTCTCACAATCTGGACACTGATATGGTTTTTCCCCGGAGTGAGTCTTCTGGTGTGTCACCAGGCTGGAATTGTTACTGAAACGTTTCCCACAATCAGGACATTCAAAATGTTTCTCTCCTGTGTGAGTCTTCCGGTGTGTCACCAGATTGGAATTGTTACTGAAACTTTTCCCACAATCAGAACATTCAAATGGTTTCTCTTCTGTATGAATCCTCTGGTGTGTCGCCAGGCTGGAATTATGACTGAAACTTTTCCCACAATCAGGACATTCAAATGGTTTCTCTCCTGTGTGACTTCTCCGGTGTATCACCAGGTTGGAATTCTTACTGAAACCTTTACCACAATCAGGACATTCAAAGGGTTTCTCTCTTGTGTGTCCCCTCTGGTGTATCACCAGCTCATAATTCTCACTGAAACGTTTCCCACAATCTAGACATTCAAACTGTTTCTCTCCTTTATGAGTCCTCTGGTGTGTCACCAGCTTATAATTCCGACTGAAACTTTCCCCACAATCAGGGCACTGAAAGGGTTTCTCTCCTGTGTGAGTCCTCTGGTGTGTCACCAGCTTATAATTCCGACTGAAACTTTCCCCACAATCAGGGCACTGAAAGGGTTTCTCTCCTGTGTGAGTCCTCTGGTGTGCTAGCAGGCTGGAATTGTGACTGAAACTTTTCCCACAAATAGGACATTCAAAGGGTTTCTCTCCTGTGTGAGTCC